AGTGTGCTTGGTTGTCTGTCTCTAAGTGTAGCCCTGTGATAGACTGGTGACCTGTCCAGGGTGTCCCCTGCCTTCACCCTGAGTCAGCTAGGATAGACTCCAGCCCCCCATGACCCTAGTGAGGATTAAGCGGTGTATAGATAATGAATGGACATTTTGACAGTTTTTGGGAAAAATGGTCAAGTAAGGTGATGAAGCAGGAACCACCTTGAGTCTGTTGATTTCATAATTTAGTTGTGTATATTTCTATTTGCAATGTATTCACAAAATTATATACATGGACTATGACTGTGAGGCGTTCAGGGACCCTGAGGGTAAAGGGTCAATTTGCACAGTTAGTAGTGCAGTCTTGGCTAAATTACACCAAGAAGAAAACGAACTGACCTGCTACTTAACAACAAGCTACATAAAGTGTTGTTTTTTCATCTGTAATTTCTTTTTTGCATTTTACTTTTTAATGTTCTTTGTTGTGTTGTGTTTTCTTCCCAATTTATTATTCAGCTCTGCTTCCGTTCAGCAAGAAGCATTTCTCCAGGAGGATTAAATATTTTAAGAGGAAACTGACACAAAACTTTAACAAGCCAGAGAACTCACAAATTATGTTTTTTTTTTTTGGAGAAAACAAAAAAAAGACCTGAAGTCCCTCTGAATGTGAAGCGGTGAAGCTGTTATCAAGCGCTACAACCACTAGAGAGCAGCCTTTTCCTTATTACTGCTTCATCTGGCTGTTCATATTTTCAGCAGTGTCCCTCCTCTGCACACATTCACACTGTTTTCCTTTTGTATGTGTCTCCATGAGTGTGCGTTTAAAACTACAAAGGGATTTTTCAATGTGAGAAAGAGTGAAAAAAAAAAAAAAAAAAGTGTGACCATATGCTCTCACTGGCTTGTAAATCATTCTGTGGACCGGTGCCAACTTCAATGAGAACCACTCCACCTAACAAAAGCCTCATCCTCCCTCTCCGGCTCTCAGATCTCCCGTACAACAACAACATTCAGCCGCACAATGCCTTAAAACCAACACTGAGCTCAGATACCTGTCCACTCGGTCGCAATCAGCAGGGAGTTGATGTGAAATAAAATCAGGCAGAGACAAGGAAGAGCACAGAGGAGGGGTTAGATAAGGCACACATATTAAAAAAAACTAGATGGATCAAATGAAAAGCAAAAGCAAAGACCCCTGAAGCAAGCTTCACAAACCCTCACAGGAGGCGGCGAGACGGAGAGAAAAAAGTGACTGGCAACAAGGAAAAGAAGAAGAACACTAACAAGGGAATAACAACAGGAGGAAGGAGTGACAGAGGCCCTGGTAAGATATGTGTTTTCCTTTTTTTTTTTTTCCAAGCAGTCGGTGGGGATAGAAAATGACTTGTTAGGCTGT